CACAGTAATAATTATGCAGTTCAACTACGCAGGACAACAGCACTGCAAAAAGAAGGAAATCTTGACACGGTTGGTGTTTTTAAGTTTTTAATTATTGAAGAAAAGAAAGACACAGAAAGATTACATAAAGAAAGATTTTCTTTTGTGTCTTGTTAATTTTTATTATAATTTATAGCTGACCCGGCAAACGTTGCTCCGCCATATAAATTACCAAAGAAATCAAATAACGATTAAAAACTAGGGAAGGGTAGGAGGGCAAAAATTCACCCTGAGACGGTTCCAAGTTTTCGTACGAAACGATAATTTCTTGGAACTTGATTAATGCGTCACTATTTTCTTAACGCGAATGAGCTATGGTGTAAATTGTCCTAATACTGAACAATACGATAGTACTCAATATATCAAGATAAATACTCAACACATTTGCGTCAATAACAGTGCTGTTAACATACATTTTGAATATATTTAATATTTAACAAATTCAATAGTTTTTGCTTGCTTAACCGAACCACAATTTTATAATATGGTAATTACAACTGCAACGTATTAATATTATTTTATCATTATGTTGTACTAAACCATTGCTTATTAAAGTATATTTTTTACTGTGATAATACTGGTTATCCATTGAAGAGCATGTTCAGGATATTAGCCCAAAATAGACACGTAATAAACTGAATTTATCCATAAAAAAAAAACTAAATTTAAATTGTATAAGTAACCACAAAATTGCGCGTCGAGAACCGCGGATTCGATTCCTGCTCAAAAAACTATTACGTTCAACAATAGACTGCAAGAGGCTCATGCCTATTACTATAATAATCACAAAAAGAATTTAATTATTAGTATTTACTAGGAATTCATAAAATTACTTTTTTGAAAGACTTTAATTAGAACACTATAAAGTTTATTTCACTTTTCAAATCAAATCAAATAAATTTATTTGCATAATTATGATATAAAGTTCTTAAAAGTACAATCAGGAATCACAGCATATTCTGCCACAAGGGCGTACAAATCTTAAGTTAAAAAAAAGTGTTGTTACAGGCAGTTTAATGAGCCGGAGAAGATCGATGGTTAGACTGCCATTTAAATAATCGTTTACATATAATAACATTTTTCAGACAGCTGTTTTTTAAATATATTCTTAAAATCGTTCATATTTAATTTTCTATATATATCCGGCAGTTTATTGTATATTTTTGGGGCAAAACAAAAAATACTTTACCACATGAGAGCTGGGTTAGATCTACATATACATAAATTATTTTTCGCCTATTTTATTATATTTCTACTGCGTTGTTCGCCATAGTGGATCACCAGCATTATTTATAAAGGCGCTAACAGACCATAAACATGTGATTATCAACCATATTATAAAACTATGGATTTATATTTTTAAACAGTTTGACCGTGACTTGATACGGAAACATTGTTAGGTACTTTTGTAATATGCAATTTTATGGAATGACTGAAATACATTTCTAAGTTGACCGGTCAGTTTGGGTATTAACTAAAATAAGATAGACAGATAGATAAGATTATTTTTAATATCTACCACTGCTAGCAGAATGTCTAGATAATAGAAATTTTATGAGTGTTTTTGTATGCAAGGCACATTTGTTATTTGTACCAAAAGGTATAATATTACCCAATAAAATTAGCAATAACCAATTTCTTCATAAACATAAAATGCTTTAATTTTATGTAATAGCTTACTATTCTATCTCCTATATATTTTGTCAGATATTTCTCAAACTGATCGGTCAAAGTCAGAAACAAAACGTATTTTAACCGCAATAAAAAAAAACCCACAAACATAAAACTCAAAAATGCAAAATTGTAAGGAATTATTTACAAAAATATTAAAGCTAAAGATATTAATTTGCCTTAATATAATATGTGATAAAAATATCACTTAAAAATCAACTCCTGCAATACAATTATAACACAGGCATTAGATGCAGTTTCGCAAACTATGCTAAAAACTCGTTCGGAAACCTTTTGTCTCCTTCACACTTAAGGTAAAAGCAAGAAGTATTAGCGGGAGAGTACTCCTATTATAATTGTAGCGCAATAATTCCTGACGAAATCTTAAACTTAACAATTAAAAAAACAACTAAACATGGCTTGGATATAGGAACTAAAAAAATCTATTTTTATACATCACAATTATAATTTGCACACAACCAGAATAGTTGAACTAATGATAACCTTTTAGATACAATGTCATTACTAAAAGATTGTTCTTTACATGGACAATTCTTTCTGTTCGTTCCCGCTCTTCGAGCCCAAGTCGTGGTATGACTTCGATAATGTGAGGTAATGTGAGGGTTCTAATTGATACTGAATCTAGACTAGATCTAAATTAGTAAAATGATCGTATATTCTGGCGGTGCGCAAATTCCAATCAACAATATTTATATCTTCTATCGTTTTTTTTAATAAACTAAATAAACTTAATATTTTTCATCCCTAAAATATAAACAAGGCAGAAATATAAAAAAAAAACATAAATTGTAAGTTTAAACAGTTATTGCAGTTATTGTGTATAATATCCATTTCTAAATGGGCATTTCCCGAAACAACCAGTCAAACTTAAGAATATATAAGTATTATTATAACACTGATTATAAATATCTTACAACGCGAAATATAGAAACGATGGTTAAAAGTTAATTTTGAATGCAAAATTGAACTGTGTTGTAGAGAAAAAATTCAATCTACAAAATGGCCAAATGAATAAAGCTATTCCAAAAAATGTCTGTATTCATATATGCACATACTCACGTCTTTATCCTTAAAGGCGTAGACAGAGTCATTTTCTGTATTCCTATTGAGAAAATCCGAATTAACCGAAAATTAACTAAGGATTTGTTTGATAATGTCTCTATATTACTCTAGAAAGATTATTGGGCTTTACTCCTTAAGAATCGATTTTCATATAAGGCGCCCGGTATGTAAAAAAATTTGAAGAGCAAAATTTAGTGATCGAATGACCTCGTTACGTTTTTTTTTTGTTAAACCTATCGTGCGCACCTTTCACATGTGTAGAAATAACTTAACGAGTAAACTCCAGTCGTGCGTCGGAGGTTACAGAAACACTTTTTCTTCATAAATACAGATATATTTTTTAAGTTTATTAGCTTTAATTTTGGCCTATTTTTAGATTGGATCCTTTCTGCACCAACCGGGATGGAATTATCGAAAGATGAAAACGTACTAAATATCATTCATTTCTGTTGATAATGTGCAGAAGCTTTAATTTTGGTCAAGCAGAAACACGCGACTGACCCTAGGAACAGGTGTACAAACGCAACAGGCTATGCTCGTTGACAATGGACCCCTGCCGAGTCAAAAAGAAGGTTCCATACCCATGACCCTCATCAATAAATGATATCGTTATATATCTTTTCACACAATTTACATACAAAATCGACTTCACCTGTTTATTTAATAAAGAAGAAGCCCAAATATATTGAACACCTTAATTTTAATATGAGGTAATCGTAATTGATTGAAAACATTTTAGCTTTTTATAATAGCGAAAAGAGATTTTTTGTTTATATCTATAAATGCATTTAAATGACACTTTAGTTACATAACTTAGTTTTTATAAAATTAACATGTGGCGTTATAATCTGTGGTTTTGTCATTTGACGTTTGTCTTAACTTTGTTCATCTAATGCCGTTTTTTTATCGACTATTTAAACATTTATTCTCATCCAGTAGTTAACAAAAAAAATACATAGCCAAAGTGGAAGCGAGTGGAATGCTGTTATCGATTTCTTCGAAATTTGATTGATTAAGTCTATATTGACATAAGACATTTTCCATTATAAAAACAGATTCCACAGATTAGTCCGCCAAATATTATAAATTGCATTAAATTATGTTCACGAAATAAGCGCGCCATCTAGTTTCTCATTTAAGTATATAGTTTCATATTTAACATTTGAACAAAAAATCAAGTTTAAGTACTTCAATAATGTTATACATCATTATTTAATATTCACATACCTCTTCGTAACCAACACTAAATGGTTGTGTTCGGAACTGGACACAAAACGACCGATAGTCGATTGACTGACATTCAATCGATTGTCTATCAAAGTGATAATCTATTTTATATCGCTAAGTATTTTTATTGCACAAAATCAGCGTGTGCAGTGACGTTCTATGGTAAATGTAAAACACTTTTAGATTTCATATTATTGTAAATATTTTTTTTGTTAATTATTTTAACTTCAACAATTTGGAGTTCGACAGTATATCTGTACGTATTTATTAGGGTATAATAACATCAGTACAATGTATCGAACCAGAAAGCAATCTACTATAACTTCATGTTACATAAAATACTACAGTAAATATTCATATAATTTTTTTAGACATCGATATTCGGGTGCTATTGACTCCACGTTTTATCATCGATCGACTATCAATCGAATATCGATTACATTGATGTGTACAACCCTAATGGATGAGTTAGCGACCGTCGTGAACATAATTATAAAATTGTATTGTATTTTTGTGATGTACTTTTCATATTTGTACTAAATACAGTAAATACTAAACATCTAGAGTACTTTTATTATAATAATGTCAGACTTATAAGTCTAGAGACGCATGCAAAATAAATATTATTTTTTGAATTGGAATTACCAATAGAGACAACAAGAGTTATAGACATTTTATTTTTCGTGCAAATAGGCTTGTAATAGATCTGGTCCAGCGAGAATTAATGCAAATATTGAGTTTTAGAAACAAAAATAGGCAAATAATTGTAATTGTATTTGTTTCTATATAGCTAACATATTATTTTAATTGGTAACGAATATTTGACAAACCCATTGGAGTAGCTCGTTCAGGTGCATATATTTATCGGCATATAGGAAAACCCTTGTCAGGATAAGTCTACAATAAATTCAATCCTCGTTCCAACTCACACAGAATTATTCCAAAATGATTTGCTGAAGCAAAAACATTTACAAACAAGACTACAAGCTATTACCGAACATCATTCTATCATCATACAAACTCAATCTATTAGACTCACTAGCTCTACCCTTCTGCAAAGCCCTATCGCGTCTCGCCCTTCTCACCGCCACAGGTAAATCCCCAGGAGTTTTCACCCTACCCGCCGGATTCAGAAGATTCACATCCCCAGAAGAAGAGAAGATTTCACTTACTTGCTCCAAAGAATGTTGACGTTTTATAGCTAAGTTCTTCAAAGTCGGCTTAGGAGATCTACTACCACTCATGTTGTACTTCAATTCTGCTGTGTCTATTTCACCATTCAGAGCTGCCAGATATACAGGGTTGTCACCACTGTACCCATTAACTAAATTTTCCTTATCATTTGGATCACTAAATTCGTTATCGAAATTCGTATATTTATTTTGAAATTTATTAAAAGTGAAATCAGTTTTGACTTGACTAGATTCTTTTAGTACTACGTTTTGATATTTCTTTTTGTCGGAGTCAGATTTCGGGATCGTCTGCATGGTGATTTTTGAACCACCATTTTCTGATAATAACATAAGATGTTCATCCTCAGAGCTTGAGCAATCAGAGTTCAGATCAAAAGGACTTATGTTTCCGTTGTAATTTTCTTGAGTATCTATATATTGGAGTTCTAAGTTTATACTGGCTTTTGATGAGCTGCCACTATCTATGATCTCGTTACCACAACTCAGCCGTTTTTTAACTGTGGAATCTTCAGACTCTGAATTTGATTTCAAAATACTCTGCGATGAAGTAGACGTTTTAACAGATCTTTTATTAAGACTATCTGAACTGCCACGTTTGTTTTTCATTTCGATAAAATCAGGTGGTTTTGCTTTAGGAACTATTACTGCGAATACTTGATTGGGAGTTTTGACGTCATCTCTCGAAGGAAGCTCTTTAAAACTGAATACTTTGTTCTCTGATTCCATCATCATTGTAGGAGAGAGAGTTCTATTAGGAGGGGATAAAGTGCAAGGTCCTTCAAAGTTATAGGGTGCCCGATCTTGGTTTATAGTGAGGTTCGATGGCCTATCGATATTGGAAGGTTTATCTACAATGGAAGTTAAAGTTTTTTGAGAATTTTCAGTCAATTTAACTTCAGTTTCTAATTTACTTCTGTTCAATTTCTCGAAAAATTTCTTTATACCCCATTTTGGTTTTTCGACTTTTACATCTTGAAGCAAATTAGTCTCTTTAGGACCTCTATCCTCGTGAGCCGTGACGTCATTAGGAATATACTCCAACGGTCTTTGATAAGACCTTATTTCGTTTAACGTTGCGTTCTCCTGGATAGGAATTCGAGTATGAGATATTCTGGCAACAGAGAGACAGTTCTCTTCTATGTTAGATACTCTGTGGGTCTCAACTGGTGCCGTTATGTCTTTTAAACTCTTGTGTATAAGTTCAACGGTAGTCTGTTGTGTGTTTGTGTGTGTGTTGCGCTCTATACAAGCGTTTCTGCCTATGTGAGGCTGTGGGTAAAGTAAAGGGGTGTGAACATCACAGTTCTGTGTGCTCGTACAGTTTGAATTTTTCTCGACCTCCGGTGGTGAGTTGGAGTCTGCAGGAAAAAAGTTTCATGTTAGGTTCATTTAACATTATATGTGAATATTAAATAGGAAATTTAAATATTTCTCTTCTCTTGAAAAAGACAACTCCCGCATTAGGAATATACCCTGTGTCGCGGGGGATTTTACAAACATACATGAAACGGACACAAAGAACACCCAGACTCAGAACAACAATTTGTGGATCACACAAAGTGTCGTCCCATGTGGGGTTTGAACCCACAACACTCGGCGTAGTAGGAAGCGGTGTGGCGACCGCTTAAACCACTACGCCATCCGTGCAGTCACGGAGTTTGAAAGTGAAGTGTGTGTGAAGTGAAAAACTCAAGTTTGGTTAAACTTGAGCTCCTTGAAGTATACAGTATACAGATACACAGGTTGTGTGTATCTGTGTCTGTCTACGGCATCATAGCTCCTAAATGGATTGACATTTGGAAATTTTTACTTCTATTATGTTCAAGAATACTATAAAGAAAATACTGTAGCTTACAATGAGCATGTGAGTGTGGGTGGATATTGTCGTGTATGAGAGGTCCCTGGGAGTGCAGCATCTGTTTTAGTTCTGACATACGCTCCTCCACGCATACAGCTGTTAATCTGTAAACAAATTATAATAAGCAAATAATAATATTTTTGACGTTATGTTTAGTGGTGACGGATTAAGAATACGGAGTGTCACCACCCCTATTCATCCCGTGGGTGTCGTAAGAAGCGACTAAAGGGAGCTAACGCAGGACAACCAGCACTGCAAAGAGAAGGAAAACTTGACACAAACCATATACCAACCCGTCTGGCCAGCGTGGTGTAGTAGGCCAAAGCCTCCTTTCTAAGGAGAGGCCTAAGTCCAGCAGTGGACTATTAAAGGCTGTTGATGATGATGATGAATATTTTTTATTTGTTTAGAGCATGGAAAACTTACAGCTATGTATGTATGTTAAAGACGATACAAATTACAATAGTCACTTGAAAGCCAATGACAAGTCTTCACGCATAGAACTATTCTTTCTTTCGACTAAAGAGACGGCACTACTGATACACTTATAAAACCAATCTTAACTTAATAACAGTCCGGCATGGTTACTCTTCTGTTCACTTAGAACGCGTTGATGTTTACTGCACTGTAGCTCAAACTAAAATGTCCTACAGACGAGAAGGTGCCCGCATTTTAACTACTCGCTAAAGCGCTAGAAACTTTATTAACCTTGAAAAAAAAATCGAAATACTATGAGGACGTCAATGAAAACAAGATCGCGTTACCGTCTATTTATGATCTTGTGCGATTTGTTATAAAGCTCATTGTTCCGTGACAACCCTGTATTCATCATCTTAAACAGCCTTTAATAGTCCACTGCCGGACATAGGCTTCTCCTTAGAACTTATGACTCTTAACTTGACAAAAACTTTATACCAACCCGTCCGGGTTGGTATAGAGTTTGTGTCAAGTTTTCCTTCACTTAGCAGTGCTGTTGTCTTCCTTAGTCCGCTTTTACTACCCCAAGAGATGAATTACCCTCCGAGGCATGGAGGGTCTCAATGTGTTAAGAATGGTAACCTATCCATAGACTGAACTAGCTAGGATTGCTTAACTTTGCAATGTGTTAACCTACTTAGTTAGCCACGAGCCCACTAAATTATAATTCTGAAAACCTGGTAAAAACGTTTGCAATGTCAACATCATCTGTTATTACAGATGATGTTGAAGTTTATATTATGATGATGATGAACAAAAAAGTTATCTTGTTTTTTAACTACTAAATATATTTTGATCCTATTTGGAAATCGTCTAAGAATAATGCCCTGTGTAAATATTAGAAATTTTTGTGAAGAAACATAAATGTAAAGTGAGGAGTTCTATTTTATACCTCCTGGGTTTATCATTAGATCAGTTTTCTTATACCAAGTTATCGTATCGTCATCCAATAAAATATATGGTTTTTTAAGGGTAAGTACACACCTAGCTTCCGCATCATGGTCCCAACACTCATCGCAGGTGTCGACGGCGACCTTGAGAGCGCGGGACTGTTGCACCGGTCCCTTGGGAAGGGGAGGTCGCGCCTTGTTACGCGATACTAAGCTCTGTAAACGGGCAAATAGGGTTTAGTTCAGATTCAAGGTACGATATCTCAAATTATTTTTAGCGAAAATGACAATAAAGTTATGCGTGCACTTCGCCAGAGTTACGCAAAAGTACAAAAGGTACTTTTTATTAAAAAAGGTGGAGAGAAGAATAAAAAAGTTAGTATGTGACGGGTCGAAGCGCCAAAGGACCTGCATCTGCGCGAGCGTGGGCTTGGGCGGCAGGCCGGCGTGCTGGTAGGGCGGCGCGTAGGGCGGCACGGGCCCCTGGTGCGCGCCGCGCGTGCGCCACAGCATCTCCCACAGCACCAGCGCCAGCGCGAACACGTCCACCGCGCACAGCGCCGCCAGCGCGCCGCTCAGGTCCAGCGCGCCCTCCAGCGCCTCGGGCGACAGGTAGCGCAGCGTGCCCGCCTGCGACCCACACACCGCTCGTTACTTGTCTTATCGTCCGATAACCTTATATATATATATATTTCGTTCAACTGAATAATCTTCTTTTTCATATTTTTAACGTGTCTACAGATTTTAACGGTACCTCAGTAATCCTAGTGGGGGTCGTGCGATCCCTCCTCGAGTGCAACGACTGCGCCAGTCCCAAGTCGGCCAACCTCGCGTCGCCGTTGGCCGTCACCAGAACGTTGCTGCTGTTCACGTCACGGTGTACCACGCAGGGTTTGTTACCGCCTGTCGTGAATATGTTCACCATAGATACGAGTGAAATAAAAAACCGAGGCCGAAGGTTCGGTTTCGTTCAGACGGTATCCAAATATATACAGATACGAGGAGTACTGACCGGGCGTGTGCAAGTGCGCGAGCGCGGCGGCGAGCCCGTGCGCGAGGTGCGCGAAGTCGCGCCACGACAGCGGCGCGGCCTGCAGGCGCGCGCGCAGCGGGCCCGCGCACAGCTCCACCACGATCAGCTGCGAGCGCGCGCCGCCCGTCAGCGACACGCGGCTGTCGCTGCCTGCGACCACACGACTATGTGAGCACATATTATACACGGTTCCTCGACAGACGCTTACGTTTCCGTTGAGGGCTGGCAAAGGCAGACGAAAATGAACCAAAATCTTTTGCAACGTTACACTTGCACCGACCTCAAATAAAATTAAAGAATAAGCACGAAGACGATGCTAATATTTCTATTTAATTTACCGTAATATTTAAGTATGTTGGGATGCGCAAGATGAGGAAGTGCATACACAGCAGCTTCTCGTTGCCAGGTGTGGGTGTTGGAATAGAGCTTCACGGCAACCGGTGAGGTTCCCAAGCTACCTCTCCATACTGATCCAAATTTGCCTTGACCTATGTATCAATAGTAAATATTAACTAAATAAGTATCAAAGCATGTTTAGTTTTAAATTCAATTTATTATTTAACATATATGAAATGTACATACAGCAGATGTACATTTTATATTATTCACTTACCTATATGTTCGATAAGAGTCAAATTATCGACACATGTAAGCCCAGTCGCTAGAGCATCAGGCCCAGTGCCCATCACGTCTCCTGAAATATAAAATTAATAAACACTATATTTTTTTCATATACAGCCTTGGCCAAAAGTATTAGGCACCCCAGAAAATTGCACAATTCATGTTTACTGATTGAACAATGAACAAATGCTTATCTTAGTTGGCATGCCGGGGTCACAAATAACTTCCTAGAAAAGCAAGCAGCTATCTGTTATGGTCATAAAACACCTGGTGACTGAAAACAAAGGATTTGTTTTTATGCGTTCTTATCAGTCAATGTTTGATCACTTGTGTTCAGGACTCTAACGAGTAAACAAGCTTTTATTTCTAACATAGTGATTAAATTGACGCGTAATTTATTTTAAAATGCCGAAAAGAAGTGAAATTAGTTTGGAAAACCGAGTAAAAATACAACTTTTCCATGAACAAGGGAAGTCGCAAAAAGAAATTGCTAAGTTTGTGAAATGTTCGCGTTGAGCTGTGCAATCTGCTATCAAACGGTTTGCTGAGACTGGCAGTCACGCTAATAAACCAAGAACAGCCAGAAAACGTGTGACTTCGAAGCGCGAGGATAGAAAATTAATACGCGAATCTATGAAAGATCGGAAGAAAACATCATCAGAGCTTGCTGCTACTTTGTCCGAAGAGGCTGGAAAGCCAATAAGTGCTCGGACCACCAGAAGAAGACTTGGAGAAGCAGGCTTAAAAGGATGCAAAGCCAGGAAGAAGCCCTGGCTTTCAGAAGCTAACAAAAGAAAACGACTTGAATGGGCTCTACGGCATCAACATTTTACTGAGGAAGATTGGGCCAATGTGGTATGGTCTGACGAATCTAACTTTGAGGTAAGTAAATTTTACTGCTTTTGTTATTAATAATCATGGTCAGTTATTTATATAACTAAAATAATAAAAGTTAAGGCAGTTTAAAAAATGTGTTTTTTTTCTTTTTTCAACAGATATTTGGAACGCCATGTGTGACCTTCGTGAGGCGACGTGTGGGCGAAGAATACCATCCAGATTGCGTCGTACCGACAGTAAAGCATGGAGGAGGCAGCATAATGATCTGGGGCTGCATGGCTATTGATGGGGTTGGCGAAATGTTTGTTTGCGAAGGTCGTATGAACAGCGAAAAGAACATAAAAGTGCTTAAAACTGCGCTTATGCCTTTCGCTAACGAGTATTTTCGGCGATATCAACTTAGAGTGAGTTATATTCCAGCAAGACAATGCACCTTGTCATAAGTCAGCGACTACGATGCGTTGGTTTACCGAAAACAACATTGACTTGTTTGATTGGCCAACGCAGTCACCAGATTTAAACCCAATTGAACATCTTTGGAGCATTTTGAAGCGCAAGATTAAAGAGCATATCACATCGAAAACGGCATTAAAAAATGCGTTAGTACAAGAATGGCATGCCATTACAAGGGAGGATTGTACTAAGCTTGTACGTAACATGCCAGCTAGAATTAGTGCAGTAATTAAATCCAAAGGTGGACCGACTAGATTTTAAGTTTTTTTCATTCTTTTTTGTGTAATTTAATGGTAATAAATCAATTCAAAAAGTATAAGTTGTTTTTTTCCTTTATTTTAAGTAAAATGTAGGGTGCCTAATACTTTGTACACCGCAGTTACATTTCAAGGATTTCTCAAAGGCATTTGAATGCGTGAATAACAGTATTGGTTGAAACTTGCTAGTATTATAATGCGACTATGGTAATCATATTTTCATAGAAATGCAAATCGTCTGTTTATTAATAAACCTTAGCATACAAGCATTTCAGTTCGATTTTATCAGGTGTACCCCAGGGATCTCAGCTAGGACTTTTTTATATTTACTTTAATTATAACGGTAATATCAATATACCAATTACAATAATTAAAATCGTATACATGCACAAATAAAAACACAAATTAATACAAAGAAAAATATAAGTTATACTTTTTAGTTAGTTAGTTAGTTTTGGCGTACCTTTCTCCACATCGGGATCATCGCTCACATCATCCTTATCAATCTCAATCTTATTACAATATAGTTTTCGCAGCACCAGTGCCATAACCAAGATGGCCACTAACGCTAATATGGCGCTAGCAGCTATATTAGATGTTGCAACATTATGTGATTGAGATGAAGTGTCCATTGTAGATTCCGCTGTTATTGTGACTGTTTCTTCTTTGATAGATACTATAAACAAGAGAAAGGGGTTAAATAAGATGTTCTAGAACACAGCAGATATCTGCTGGAAGCATTGTTAAACTATGGCAAAGTGAACTATTTGGTGCAAACTGAAAACAAAAGACAAAAGAGTTGCCGGTGTCACAGAATCAAATTTTAACTAAGAATATAATTAAAATTGCATGTCATTATAAAAACTGTACTCAGTTTCTTATTTCAGTTTTAAAACGAGACAACACTATTTATGTCAATAGCATTAGGGTGCAAGATACAGATACAGAGACAGTAGACCAATAACCTATTGCTAAGTGGGAAAGAGAGAACAAAATTACAATTTGCATCATTTAAATGATCTTACAATAGCGCTTGTATGTCAGCTTGTGAGAAAGGTCTCATCAAGCAACCACAGGGTTGGCACCTTCAGTAGAAAAATAAATCATACTCATGGATAATTTCTTTAGTTCGAAATTTTTAGTTCTTAGAGTTACTTACAAAAATCAGCATTACAGTAATCTTTTGAGCAGCAACAGAATTTGCTTCCCGGTAGCTTTGCGGTGACTTTCGTACACCGGTCACAGGATCTACGACCTGTTGATGCCCGCCAGCATCCTAGAAGCAGAAATGTCTAGTCAGTTACGAAAGTATAGCATATTTATTCTGAATTACTAATTTGAAGCAAATAATAATGAAATAAAATATTTTCATAAATGTGGTCAAATTGTTCAACAGAGATTATCACATAAAAGAAAAGGAGATCTATCTTTGGAATCCCACTCCCCAATCCTAAAATTACTAGGATTTTATTACAATTTTAATTAGGTTTAATTTAGGCCTAAATAATGATGATGATAACAGAATTGTAAGCATGTAAGCATTTATAGCACCCATTTTTTATGTTATTATTACCGGTAATTGTTTATCTCCGAATGTAATTATTTTTATCTCTGAGAGTTCTAAACATTTCCTATGAATATATCAAAAGCTAGTAAAATCAATTAAAAAATTACCTTGTCCTAATATAGTAATGTTGCCAGCCTTGTCTTGATGCCAGAGGGTGTAGCATGAAGCCCTTGTATCAGTACATTGTTCCACCTGTGTCACTTCACCGTTGGGCAAAGTTGTTTCAGATATTGGACCCGTTTCTAAAATGACAACCACATATTAAAAAAAATTGAACTAATACAGGTAGACCAAGAGATTGAATCCCATAATACTCAGTGTGACTATCTCAGTGAGCCTACATGATGCCTTTGTAACCGTTTCTTTGACATAAAAAAAGTTAGTCATATTTTTACTTTGATGTGAGACATATTATCCAAGTACCACATGGTATGCCTATGATTTGAGGGATCATCCAATGCAGGGGTTTATTAATAGTTACCAAAGCGTTAAAGTAGTGGCTGTGAGCCTCATCATCAGATCAACTCGACGACTACATGATTAAATGTACATGACTAAATGATTGCATGGTTATCAATATACATTGTATATATTTTTATTACATATATGTGTATGTAAATGTATGTGTGTGTATGTATGCCTATTTTATATATTACTTTTTACACTACTGTAGGTTCAATACACCTGGACTACATATTGTTTCTTCTCATTTATTGTCGATCTGCCGTTAAGATATTACTTTTAGCAATAAGGCCGCCCATTGTACATATACATCTGTAATATTTATTAAACACTAACTGACCCGGCAAACATTGTTTTGCCATATAAATTATTTCTAGTGAATATTTTGGAAGTTAAATAAAAAATAACTAACTTATTGGAAGTATGAGATGATAGAGTCTATGACGGAAAGAGGAATAGAGCACGGTGGCCGCTGAGAGCCTATAAAAATAACAATTCACTAACCATTCATTTTCTTAATTCAATGTACTTTATTAACTAAACTGACATATTTACAATAAAATAAAAAAATCTATGGAGGGTCACCTAGAGGTATAAAAAATAGCTTACAATCTATTCTGAAACCTACCAAATATGTGCAAAAAAGCCATTTCAGAGGAGTTTGATAACAAACACTGTGACATTAGATTTTTATATTTTAGATATTGTAATTGGTGTACAATAAAGTATGTCAATCTACATTTACATGCAACTGTTGGTCTAGTGGTTAGTGATTCTGACTGATAAGCCTGAGGTTGTAGGTTTGATTCCCTCAAGGACAAATAATTGTATGATGAGCATCAGTACTTATTCTGTGTCTGACTATCTTTACTATATACCTGTGTATTTAAAATTATATGAACATGATTATCACCGGTTTGGTAACCATAGCATCCATAGGCTCTTTCTAGTTTGGAATCAGACAGCAGTGCAGTTTCAGCAGTTTTATTTTGATTTAATACTTTAGAAGTAGGTTAAATTTAAAATCCTAGATTTGTTAACATAATTAGTTGCAAGTGAATATCAATAGTCCGTTAATAGAAATGTAATACCAACAAATTAAAAATACCAACCAAAACTATCATTTTCCACCACCAGCTGTGCATTTCGTTCATCGTCATATGATGGTGTAACACTCATTGCAACACTATCATGTATTTTATATAAACAGGAGATAGTGGGACCCATAGTAGTTGTTGTTTCAGTTGGTATTTTAGCTGCCATGACCTTATATTTTTTAACATTTTCAGGTACACCATTTTTTCCATTATTTTCCTTGCCAGAGCTTATCGCTTTCTTCTCAAAAGAACTGACAATGTTGCCTCTGACTGCATCAGAGGTGTACTGATCTAGCCTGGCTATCTCTTGAGAGGTACTTACAAATTCATTTGAATTTAGAATCTCCAAACTTCTTTTTTCCAGTTTTTGATCTTGCACTGGCCAGTATTCTTGTACAACAGAGTCATCTAGTATACTTCTTTTATTAATTCTCCTCTCATATTCAATATAATTTAAATCATCAATACTTCTTTTACCTGTGGCTTTTGGTTGATCATTTGACACTGGCCAGTAATTACTAATATCTTGATCATTATTGTTGTTGTTGTTCCATTGTATAGTTCTCCTATGATGATATTTAGTGAATGTTCTCACATAATGTGAAGGTTTTAGTTGATGATTGCCATTCTTTAAGTCCTGAGATTCTTGGGGCCGAGAAGTTAACACTTTCGCCGTAAAAATAAACAGAAACAACACCATACATTTTAAAATAGGTGTTATTCTATTGTATATCAAGGTCTCCATCATTGTAAATTTAATTACAATGTTTTATTTAACTTTTATATTCATTTTTATTATTCAAAAAAGGTTATACGTAAATGTTGTACTGCATAAACTAACCCACTAAGACACTGAAGAAATATTGATTTTTTTCACATTGACTCATTTAGGAATCGAGCAGTATTATCACAATACTATTATTTTCTAACTGTAACACTTCACAATATAAACATCCTTTACTGCAATTCAATGAGTATAACATCAGATATAGGTTTTTAACGTTGAATTTAACGATTTTAAGAGTAAGTCGCAATATGAAAATAAAATGTTATATACAGGACTTAGTTATTCTATAGTGTTTTGTTAACATTTATCAGGTAATTTGCATAGAATAAATTTAATATAGACGATTTCAAGGTTACTGTTTTAAAGTTATTTATGTTGTTTTTCTGTAAAACAGAAATGATCACAAACATTTCCCCGACATATTGCAAGCGTTTCGTTTAGTAGTTCTACCCGATGAGATAAATGTCAAGTAACGTTTTGTTACTCGTCATTCTTTTATTGTGCACCGTAGCATACTTATTTTCAACTTAATTTAATGTAAATTTTCAGTTCACTAAGTTCACACTGAGTTCCACTAAAAATATACATTACATTAAATTACAGTTTTCACCAACTTATTCCATTATTTAACTCTTAAACTAAAATAAATAAATAAAGTACACGTTTTTCTAAATAATAATAATTCTTATTAGACATTTTGACCCAATACTTAAGAGATTGTAAAATAAAATCATACACCACATACATTTTAAATACAGATACTCAATATAAATATCAGTATATTTACTATTTATTTCAATATAAATATCAATAACACAAATGCTCGTAACTAAGTTCATTAACAGACGTCAAAAGTTGAGGGTGTTTTTGAAATAATAAAATAGTTTATTGTTTCAAATCTACCCCCAAACTTTTATCTCATAGCTCATATCACATACCATGAAAGTAAGTAATAAGAGATGAGAGTGAGATAACCCAAAGTCAATTTGGGTTTATGCCAGGATACGGGACAACAGATGCTATATTTGCAATGCGTCAAATATGTGATAAATACAGGAGTGCGCACAAAAACTTGCATATAGTGTTTGTAGACCTCGAAAAGGTATATAATAGGGTACCCCGAGAGGTTTTGTGGTGGCCTTTGAAAGAAAAAAGAATGCCTAGTAAGTATGTAGAATTGATACGTGCTAAGTACAAAGAGTCTAGCACTTGTGTAAGATCAGTCACGGGATCGGCTCTGAGCCCATACCTCTTCCTGTTGATAATGGTTGGTCTGACTTCGGACATACAGGAGGAGGCACCTTGGTGCATGCTATTTGCAGATGACATTGTGTTGGTCGGTGAAGACGGGGGTGAGGTCCAGAGCAGACTGGAAAAATGGCAACAACGGCTGGAGAATGTGTGCTTGAAAATCAGCAGAACCAAAACTGAGTACATGTTCTGCTATTTCGGCGGTCTCTCCAGTCCTGAAATCATTTCGCTAGATGGGATAGCGTTAACAGCTTCAATTTCAAGTACCTCGGCTCCATCTTACAATGTGATGGTGAGATTGATCGAACTGTACAGCATCGAATCAATACGGGACGGATGAAGTGGCGGCAGGTAACGGGAACAATTTGTGACCCCAGTTTACCCTTAACACAGAAGACTTAATGCTGAAAGTTGGCCCATTAAGAGAACGGATGAGAGACGCCTGAACGTAGACGAAATGCGATTGCTGAGATGGATGTGTGGAGGACTCGGATGGACAAGGTTAGCAATGAGTAAGAAAGTAGCGACGCTGGATGAAAAGTTAAGAGGTAAAAGGTTATCTTGGTATGGACATTTCATGCGAAGGGACGAGGAAAATGAGGCTAAGAAAGTTTTAGGTATGGAGTAGAAGGGTACAAGAGAAGAGAAAGACCATAGAAAAAGTGGATGGACTGTGTGAGTGAGGATATGGCTAAGAAAGGAGTAAATAATGATATTAGGTATACCGTAGACGACCGTCGTTAGACGATAGAGTAGAATTGCAGAATCATACTTACTGCGTCGACCCCAAATAAAATTGGGATAGTGGTAGGCAGATGATGAAATTAAGGCTAATGTTGATTCGATTGGATTATTAATGCCTAAAAAATTTCAATTTATAGATTGATTTTTGTTTTCCAACTGATGTTTTAGTATTTCGTTTTTTTTTTTGCCCGAGCCTATAACTACCGAAATCGGCGATTACTCAGCGATTTAGACATGGGACAAAATCACAGTGAACTGTGATTTATAATTCGATTTTTGCGTACGTAGGTTAGGGTTGCTAGGTAGGTTGGTAAGACGCTATTTAATAGTAAATCTAGTATTTTTTTTAATTATTAGGGTATGTGGTAGTTTTATATAATAAAATAATTACTAGATTTACTGTTAAATGGGGAAATAGGGTCTTTATGCATCGTTTGAAAACAGCTTATTGGCAACAACGCGTGAGTAACTAGTAACCCTAACCTACGTACGAAAAATCGAATGATAAATCACCGCTCATTCTTCTTCTATACTAACTTATATTAGTGTATTATCTATGGTCTATACTCGGCAGTCGGCAGCATACTCGGATTGCCGTAGTTCCGTCATTGTTTGAAGGCTTGGTCGTGATAAAAATAAATTTAAAAGTATTTGAATACCTCATATTCTAAACTGTATTGCTCTTCAATTTTACACTTAATACTTATTTAAGTCTTTGTGTGTGTGTTAAATATTCCTAAACAATGTCTTCTGCATCAGTCGCGGACGAAATAGATGAGGCGCAAGAACGACAACACTTTCGCGCCGTTGTCACCGCTTTCAAATATTATAAGTAAGTATTTATTGAATTAAACCCCTTTAGAACTCTACCACACCCTAATAATTGTTATGTAAAAGAATCTATTTATAACTAGTAGTCCAAAACAAAGTTTTATTTTTGGGTAGCAACAAGTCTTTGTTTGAACAAAATCGGACGATATAATTAACCTATTTAGATACAAACTAAACTTCTTTGTTTATGTCCTATGTAAAATGAGTAGTGTAGATATTTGGATAATGTGCCGTTTTATTTCGCTAGGATATTTGTTATTTCATCATCATTAATATAAAAATCGAATTAAAAAAAAATACTACTAATAAACCTATTTTATTTTTTTAGAAAACTATGTTTAGTTATTTTAAATCTGTAGGTAGATTTAATTAAATACAGAAAGTTATCAGCGCCTAATAATGTTAAAATGCTGTTTAAACTGGTTTATTTGCTATATAATAATACAGATTGCATTGAACTTACGAACTAGAAGTACCTAGGTGTCAAGGGGCAGCTTTGTTCATTTTTAACAGAGTAACAGCATCCCCATAGTATTGCCTAATTGCAGAAAAATCTCACGGGTCATTGTTATCATGTCCTTATAAGAGTTATTTTACAATATTAACAAAAAGGAGGAGAAGGAAAATGAGTCTGGAAGTTGCTTTGGATATCCTAAAATTTGGTTAGATTTTTGTTCGTTTGGCTTGGCTCATTGTTCTCGCTTAGGCCTCTTTCATGGGTAGAAGACCTTGTATACATGATCAAAATATTTTTTCTCTTGTATGATTTGTAAATTTAATCAATTAATACTTTTTCGAAGAAAAGAAAAATTACCTGACAGAAAATTACAAAGATTAAGCAGTTAAACAACCAATATAACAAAAACTATTGACATTATATTAGTAACAGATATCTTAATAACGGTGAATCTAATTAAGGCTTATTTGCAAAGGACATAAGGTCATATACCAAAAGGTGATGCAATATAATTAATTTAATTGTCATACTCTGTGGTTGGATGGTTAATCATCCTTTGTATGATGCAATGACATAGATATGACTGGTGCAGGGATTTCCAGAATATCTGGCACAATCAATGACTGTTCTCTTAATCATTTGTTACACACTATCTGAGCAAAATTTTACTCCATGGATTGTAGGTCATTGTAAAAAGAATGATAGCATTATTGTAATGTTTTAAACAGAAATCTAGTGTGGTGTTCCTACCACCACCAGTTGATTTCTATTACCGTATGTTGTGTGTGTTGACCAGAATATATTAAATTTTAAACCTGTTTATAAAATAAATAAGGTTTTAAATTTTATAGTATAAGTTTAAATTCAGTACAATCTGAGGGACAATTACTAGCATTACAAGCAAATGCGGTCAAAAATATTTTTCTTCTTATTTTATTTTTTTTTCATCAAAGAACTGTAACTCCCAAAATAAGAACCACAAAACTACTTAACACTTCACGAGATTAACATGCTTCCCTAAGATAAAACACCTGCTTAATTGCTAACCTTTAACTAAAAAACCCTTATTCCACAAATGGCTAATTTTATTTTTTAAAAGGAAGAAACAAAGTTCAAAATTCCCTATCTTTCTGTAAAAATATCTTATTATTGTTTTAAATCTAGTTAGAGATAAATAAAAAATCGCTACATGACTGATTATTTGATTACTCCATTTAATAAAAAAATATTCTGTTACTAAATTAAGATTAAACTATTTTCGGGCCTTTTACTATTTATATCAACAGTAATCTTTGCTCATCTTATTTTCTAGTTTTGAGGAAACACAGATTGCAACATTTTATACTATTTTTTTCAAAATATATTTTTGCACTTAATATCTATTTACCTAAAGGAAAGCAGTTAAAGAGCTTATGAATGTCATACACACTAAACAATTTAACCAAAACATTTAATATTTTCCAGGTTATGCAGTTTAGATAGAATACAAAAATCTGAAAAAATAATATCCATACTGCCACAAAATCATCAACGACGTTTAGAAAAATATAAGACTTACCTCGCAAAGTTCAAGAAATGTCTTGATGTGAATAACAGTGTTGTTCATTTAATCATCACAGATGTTGATACAATGTTTGAAAATGTTGATCATACAGTTACTAACACATCTGGAACCAATGGAACTGAAAGTTTTGGATGTAATTACAATAATTGTGAGATCGCATCACAGAAGCAGCATAAAATGCAGCATGATGTCGAAAAGGTATGTTATTTTGACTGGCCTTATGAAAAATGAGAAAAAGAATTCTCATATTTTTTATTCATCAAATTAAATATTTTAGTAGATATTCTGCTATTTGGGGCAGATACAAGGCCAAAAAAATCAAATATAAAAATTGCTCCAACTGCTCTCGAGTTATAAATAATGTAACTAACCTGTCTTTGTTTTTATTAAACTTTGTACCGCCTTAAAATTAATAAATTGGGTTACAAAGACAAGCACACAAGAATTATGTCTATTAACATATAAAAATAATATGTATGTATTTAGAAATCTATAAAGTATTTTTATCAGCAATTTGGTAACCATATTATAGGCTCAGTCTAGTTTGTAGTAATACAAACATCAATATTATATGAGGCAAAATATAAAACTAGAATTACATAGTGCAACCCTGTTCCCTCCAGGTACAGTCAGTTCTAAAGAACATAGTCCGTGATTGGAGCGACATGGGAGCTGCTGAACGGGAGCAGTGCTATAAACCTGTGTTGGATGAGATGGAGGAAAGATTTCCGCCTGATGAATACAAGTAGGTACATAGTGCTAAGTTAGAGGAAAATATTGGGTAGACACATTCATTAGTGGAATGATATAAATACTTGTTTTTTTTTTATAATGGAACACCATTGAAAAAAAAACAAGTATTTATAAGAGTGCATCGACCAAGCCCTCACCCCCTGACTAATCAAGACTCAAGAATTTATAGTTTTGTACGAAAGCATGGAGCCTCATTGGTCAGGGTGCGTTTTTTATTTAATTACCACCCTCTAGTGAGGCTGGTAGTGACACTGTCATAGGGTAGTTTACTTTTTCAGGGTTTCCCTACTTACTGTCAAGATTTCAGCAAAACCTTTTTTTTTTAAATTGGAACCCAAAAACAGTTATTCGCTGTACTATTAAGCAACTTATGAAAAATTGTGTTAACCTCAAAGAGCAAGTTCTTTTCCCATCTTAATTTTTTTTATACTATATATTAATATGATAAAGTTCTGAACGTAGTATATCACTAGCTTAGCCTACAGCCCTCACGTTGAAGTTATTATTCTATCCCTCAAGATCTGTATAGTTTATTGGATGAAAGATAGTCAATGTCTGATGAAAGATTTCTTGCCTTTCCTACCTTTTTCTGGGATCGACGCAATGTGCATATTGCAATGAGTTTTGACTTGCCTGACGTTGAACTTCTTGGGAATGTAATAGTTATCAAATGAAACAAAAGAAGGGAAATTTGGACAAGAGAAAAGCGTAGGGTGTGGTAGCTAGGGTTCATGATACCGTAAGTCTCGAATAAGGAAATTGGAGTGAGTCTGCAATAGTCCTGTGATTGCTAACGTCACCAGGACAGAACATCAACACGCCTTAAATGAATAAACTCACACGCTTTCATACTGCTAGTTAGGTCAACAATCATGTCAAGTTTGATCCAAAGTTTAATGGTTAAAAAATGTTGGTTCCAGTGACCGTACTCAGATCCGCGTACTGGTCCCGGGCGCGGGGCTCGGTCGGCTCGCGTGGGAGATAGCAGCCCGCGGCTACACGTGCCAGGGAAACGAGTTCTCATTGTTTATGCTGTTCGCCAGCAACTTTATACTCAATAGATGTAATGAGGTAAGTTTGTACAGGCATTTAAAGTTAATGTGAAGTTTTAAACTTAAGGTGTAGAGAGAGAACCGGCTCAGTTTCCATGGGAATTGAGACACGGTTCTTATCTTATTTGAAAGGAACCGCGAGTACCCCTAGTTTGTAGACTAAAATTATGTTAAATTATCAACTTTTAAGCAACACTATTTGGTTCGGAATACAATGATTATTATTTCATAATATTCATTTAAATATTTTTTTCGTATGCAATCTTGATCCAAACCCAATATGAAGTAGTGCATTTTTTTTAACTAAATAAGAACTAGTACCACTTTTTTAAACCACGACAAATTAAGTTTTATTCGCCAACCATAAAAGATGTTTAAATATACTGTCAGTGCTAGTGGTTGCCTGTAAGAAAAATGTTCATTCTCATTTAGACATTTTCTAATTTGAGTAGAAATAACTTGATACATTTTCCGTTTCATCCGTGGGTGTCGTAAGAACCGACTAAGGGAGCAAACTACGCAGGACAAGAGCACTGCATAGAGAATGAAAACTTGAAAAAACTCAAAACAAACAAAATCCATCTGGCCACCGTTGTATAGTAAGCCAAAACCTCCTTTTCTAGGAGGGGCTTGTGTCCAGCAGTGGACTACTAAAGGCTTTTAATGATGATTTTCCGTTTCAGGTGAACAAGTACACCGTGCACCCGTGGGTGCACCAGTACGTGAACAACGTGACGTGCGAGCACCAGCTGCTCGCCGCGCGCTTCCCCGACGTGTGTCCCGCCGGGAACAGGCCCAACCCTAATTTCTCCATGACGGCTGGAGACTTTTTAAAGGTACACTTTTAATTTAACCAATTTTTTTTTATATGATTTCCTAACAAGACACTTTTATCTCTTTTTATTCACTATTGATTAACTCGCAATTTCAAAACAATATGCGTGACTCAGTATGTTAATAGTGAACTAATATCATAGTGACAGTCGCACTTTCACTAGCGTTGCAGAGTAGAGTTTTATCATAACCTGTGTACATTCACTCTTTAAGAAGCAATACTATAATTTAAATTGTAGCTTTTTAAAAATGATAAAATATTTTGTTCAATTCACAGGTGTATACAGAGGCTGATGAGTGGTCATGCGTGGTCACCTGTTTCTTCATAGACTGTGCACCAAATGTGATAGAGTTTATAGAGAGAATATACACTATACTACAACCTGGCGGTTACTGGATCAATTTAGGTCCTCTTTTGTATCATTATAGGTATGTAATCAAGTGAAATAAGTTTTTTTGTTTCTTGCACAATATATATATATCTTGTGTACTCAGAACAACAATTTTAACGATTCGAACACAACACTCAGCGGTAGGAAGCGGCGAGGTGACCGCTTAAACCACTATGCCAACCATGCAGTCAATTTGATAAACTATTTGTTTGTTTCCAGTGACATGCCAACTGAGAACAGTATTGAACCGCCGTACGATATCTTGCTAGAGGTTATTAGAGACATAGGATTCGATATATTGGTAAGTGCATTCTAATTTTAACTAACCCAAAGTATAATGTCAGGTATACTCCAGCTTTTGAGATATAACAATATGGTAGATTCCTGTTTAAAACAAATGATATAACCTGAGTCTTTAAAATATGTAACATCTTAAAGCATATCCTGAATTGCCCTCCATATTTTTTTTCGTTTTTATGGTATAAGGGGGCAAACTAGCTACTAATATTATTTTTGTTTTCATATCTACAAATATAATGTCACACTTATACTAAAAATACCAAAATGAACTGCGTCTATTGGTTTACGTTAAATAAAGAGATACATATTTGACTTTACAGTCATCATATATTATGTAGGCGCCTTACCATAGCTTCAATATAAGATACAATGATTATCATCATGATGATGATGATTGATGATGTCATCTGGAGGTCATCAGCTTTTTTCTAATTGTTGATGAGATCTCCGAGTCAGGGTTGCTGAAATTATTAAATGGTTTTATTTAACTTGCAATGTTTGTGTTACTTAACTCAGTTGCAATTTAACTTTAAAACAATTATCCTCACGACTGACAGCGCCTGGGTTGAATTCATTTTATTTCCAATATGTCTGACAGCCCAAGATCCAATTTTGCGGCAAAGTGCTATCATATAAATCGCGTTATATGATAAATTGAGGGGTTTGATTCAATTTAATCAATAATTTAAAAGCTTTTTATAATATGTTTTAAATTGTTAATTTATATTATTTATTTACAGAAAGAACAAACAGGTGTCAAAACGAAATACGCCCAGAATCCAAACTCGATGATGCAACACGAATACGACTCGGTATTCTTCGTGTGTCGGAAACCTTACTGCATGTAGCGGGGTGCGAGCCGTTCTGTCAGACATCAGGGCTCGTGGCTCAAAGATGAATGACTTAGAGGTTTCACTGTACATCTTTGTTTAAGAAAAAGTACCAATAAGTTATTAGTTTACGTAAATGAGAGGTGTGATCTCGACTTTCGAGATTATAAACTATTTTGTTATGTCATTTACTGTGATACATACAGACAAAATAAGTGAACAACTAATCTAACTGATATGTCAGATGATTTGACAACATTCAGAATATAAGTCAGTTTAATGAAGAGATAGCTCGTAGATTCGATAGTATTTGTAATGTAATATCTACAATCTATATCGAAAAAGAGGTTTATGAATAATAATAATATCGATACTGTAGATTGTCATTGATAGTATATGTTTTAATATCGATAATCTGTACTGTAAATTTCTAACGTTTTTATCGAAATCTGATGTTGTAGATTATTATCGATACTATCGATGTTTGTTTTTTTTTCTAAAGCGCGCTGTATTTTGTTTAGAATATATAAATTCTATTACATTGTTAAGTCATTTTTTATTGGCGGCAATTCATAAAATAGTTTATAAAGTTATGTAATTAATAAATTCACTGTTTATACTGCATGCGATATAATCTCAAATATAAGTATGTAGTGTTAAAATATATTTTTATTTTGTATACTGTAACGCACGTAGCGTTAATTTACAGAAGGTGGACATATTTTTTGATTAAAAAAAAGTTTACAAACAGAAGCCATTAACATCACAGTTTCAAGAGATTTTAGCACTTAATTTTTTTTTTGTTTAGAGTATAGATTTTAACCGATACTCTAAATCAGGGATTCCTAAACTATTTTGGGCAAGAGACCCCGTTTCTAAAATGAACTGATACCTCAGACCAGACATTGCCAAATTACTGCACGCTTATCGACTTGTTGCGTTTTTTAAAGTACAACAATGCTACTTGCTACTAAAATATTAGTCATTCTTATAAAAAGTTGGTACACGTAACATAATTAATACATTATCTTGAAAGTTTCAAACAAGAACTGTTAAGTAATGGAGGTTGATTTTTAGACCTCGTTGACCCCCAAAATCAGTTTTTGTTTATGTAGACCCCTGGGAAGCCGATTTCAACCCAAAGGGGTCAATATCGACCACTTTGGGAATCCCTGCTTTAAATTATATTCTAAATTTAAAATTATACCATAGATATTAGTTTTTTTTATAGACTTTTGTGCTCTATCTTATTTCTTTATATTAGGACGTATATATTACGTACTACAGAACAGATCTCTTTTTTGCAGTAATTTAATATACTGATAGAACAAAGAGCATACATACTCGAGTCAATATTTAGTAACCAGCCATTTACGAAGGTAGGGACTAGACACTGATTCATCAATTTTAGTAGAAATGCTATGCCCTTGTATGATAATGATCTGCAAGGAGACAGTCGAAGTTAAGGTATGACGGCTGGATTGATTGAGGAATATAAGCCCATATTCACACTGTCTGTATAGGTGTTGTGACTGTTTATAGATGATGGTGACAGTTAACCATTAGGAGGTTTTGTTGTTTCATAATTTAATTACAACTCTGGTTCAAGTCTTCCAAACAGGACTTTATTTATCGAGTTGCGTTCGTTTTTAACATAGCTGTCTTCTCATCTTTGTAATGGTTAAAGTGGTGGGTTAAAGTATGAAATTACCCATTTGTACTGAAAAATTGAAACTCGTTTTTTTCCAAGATGTAACATATTTAATCAAAATATTTACCTTCATTATCTACACATTCCTGCCATGCCGGAAGTTTATTTATGCCTTTACGATAAAACTCTGGGGATCTAGATTCGATAAACTGTGAAAATATTTTGTACTACCTACTGGGATGAATTCGGTGCGTTCATTAACAGTCTCCTTTCCAAACGCGGCGTTGATATTGCGAGCCGTTTCTGCCGCGTTAGTTCCGCGTCGGAACTCTTATTCACAAAAATGACTCGGATTTTTTAAGTATCCATTTTTACGTCTAAGCTGAATAAAAAAAAACAATTGAAAGTCGAAATTCGTACATATACCTCAAAGGTATCATGTGAAATAAGTTTCACACGAGAATCTCACAACATGAAGGTTTCCAACGGCAATTTCATACTTTAATTCCTATTATATATGAGTTATATTGTGATAGTTTTTGTAAAGTTCAATTTGTAGAATTTGATCAAAACTCGTGATCTCTATAGCAATGTACACAAAGGTTAAGTAATATATAATTTCTGTACAATATGAGTACATCTGAAACAACGCATAGTAGTGGAAAACAAGGACATCTAAAATAGTTGTTGAGTTACAAAAACTACCAATTTCAGGTAACACAGATTTCTGTTTGACGTAGCATCTTCACCCTATATAAACATGTTCTTTAACCTACAACCGTAGTTAAGAATAACTGATGGCTTCGAAATAATTCAATAAGGGGTTGATATCAGCCAGTATATGTGCTTGTTTGCCACATTAGCAGCATAAATAAATTTGTCCCAAGTAATATTTTATTCACTTTGTGTTTGTAAGTGTTGTTGCTGTTTGTTACGTTTCTGTCTACTCCCACGGGGTGACTAGCGTGAGTGTATGTATTTTATGAAATGGTGAATATTTAAACATCATGACATAAAGGTTCGAACTGTTAACTGCGTCTAATATTTTTAAGTAGCGTTAGGAGACATAACAGCCTAGTCTGAGTAGTATGACTGCACGGATGGCGTAGTGGTTTAAGCGATCACCTGCCGCTTCCTACTGCTCTGAGAGCCGTCGGTTCGATCCCCACATGGGACAACACTTGGTGTTATCCACTAATTGTTTGTTTGGGTTTATCTTTGTGTCCGTTTCATAGATGTGTGTAAAGTCCCCTGCGACACAGGATGTATTCCTAGTGCGGCAGTTATCTTTTGAAACAATTAGTGTTTGAGTTTTGTTGTATAAATGTCCGTCTGTACAGAAAATGTAAGGGTATTATTTAAGCAGTTATTTAGAAAATAGAACTTAAGATGTTATCACAAAGTATTTTTTTGTAAATTCTTGTCGGTCAGTTAGTACATAATAATTATATATTTCAAACAAGGTCAGTAACTAAATAAGTCTAATGTTTAAGATCTATTTTAAATCAAAGCCCTACACTGTACTACATATGTTGCTCAAATTAATATTATATTATCACCCAGGATTCTTTGAATTGGGAGAGAGTGGGCGGGGGGTTTTTCGACAAACGAAAACCAACAAAAAATGCTTCTCCGGGTATCTGTGAGGCCGTTGTTATCACTTTCGGTCGAGCCTTTAATAATTTCGATAAGGTTATATAATAATAAATATATTTTTGGAAATTCACACACAAAGCCATCTAGTTGCAAACTAAGCAGAGCTTGTATGTGGAAGCTAGATTGACTGATAGAATACTTATATACTTTATTTTTTATAAATACATACATATTATACATAGAAAATATCGAAACTCCGAAATAAATATTTGCAGATCAGACAAACATTTGGTCCGACCCGGGAATTAAACCCGAGACCTTAGCACAGCAGTCGCAAATAATTAATATTGTATAATGTGAAAAAAGTAATTTTTAAATAATTAGTGGGAGATCTTTATTTCGGCACAAATGGGCCACGCTCGACCGGAATGGTATCACGACCTCATAAACCGATGCTAAGCAGTTCTTAAATTGCTTTTAACCGAGTGAGTGAAGTTTCCGGAGCCCAAACCCTGCCCCTGATCCTGGGGAGAGACTGAAAGAACGGTAACGCACTTGAGACTCTTTAAGTTGCAGGTGCCAGGGATCTTTCCAAAGGATGATTGGGTTTAACATGCTTCTGCGTGATGTCCACTGCCCATTGTTGTCGCAGGTAGTAGTCACTTACCATTAGAGGCCCAAGTGTGAGTTTATTTCCTACTGGATTACTTTACTCTGAAATCTCCAACAATCGCAACGCTAAATGTGTCAAATCGCACGCTAAATGTGTCACTCGCACTTGGGCCTCGGATGACTCCTCTGCTCGTTTGACCTATATAATAAAAAAACTAAGTGGATGACAAGAATTATTTTGTATTGTCGCTGCGGCGATCACGACTGAAATATAATGTTACATAGTAAAAACATATAATTTATGGATAATGAAGTTTTTTTTGTATCGATACAAAAATGTATACTTGTTTGCACTTTAAACACCCTGTTTTCAGCTCTGACCACAATCGGAGAATGACAATTTCAATTTAGTGAATAAAAAATGATTTAGTGAACATCAAATTGTCCTATCTAAAGAGAGGCCCATGTCCAACAGTGGACTGGTCACGCGTAGAGTAGGGTTGCCATAACTGCTGAATCACCGACTGGGATATGGGGACAGAAAAGGGTAAATCATGGACAAATTCAAAAGATCAACTTTTAATTTTCATTTTTGGTACATATTTGCTGAAACTGAATAAAATGTAAAAAACAAAACAACAAAGAAAAACACCCATAATGAACAGAGATCCTTAAAAAAGTAAAAGGCCTTCAGAAAAATATGAATATTCTTTGCCCGTTCATATTTGGAAAAGTGAAGTTGAAAACGCGAAGATAGGGTCTCGCCCTCGTCCGGTTCGAGTGCGACATAGCCACCGGTAGGTGGTATCCGAGGGGATTTCCGCACAGAAAAAAAAGGGTCTCGCCCTGATATCTCCCGGTGATTATAAACTCGTGCATACCAAACGGGGACTAAGGGTTTATTGACCGGGACACCACGACATATCGCTTCAAACCGAGAATTGTCTCGGTGTACCGGGACGTATGGCAGTTCTATCGTAAACTGTGCAAAATTAACTAGAGAAATCTTGTAATCCGTATCTGGATCTGCATCACCTAGACTCTAAGGTATATATATATAAAATCTAAAGTGTAGGTATATAAGATGAAAATCTTACAGTATCGTCGCCGTCTGTAGTGCCCCTTATCGTATCTGCTAATTTACATTGTAACGATCCGGCATTGGAAATGCCAGCATTTTAGTTCACGTAGTATCATCATCAACAGCCTTTTAGTAGGCCCCTCCTTATAAAGGAGGTTCTGGCCTAATATACTACGTTGGCCAGACGGGAAGTTTTCCTTCTCTTTGCAGTGCTGTTGTCATGCGTAGTTTGCTCTCTTAGTCGACTCTTACGACACCCATGGGAAAAACAGGATCTTTTTTTTTAGCGTAATACCGCCTTTATTAGTCCCCCTAATGTCGCAAGACTCGCAAGATTGTATGCCATTAATTATTGAAATGACTTAAGGTATATTGAATGTACTAGTTTTACTTTTTGTTAAAATATTGTTAAAACCTTTTATCATTAAGGAATAATGAAGACAAAGGGATTTTCTACTCATAACAGCATTTTTATTTGCAATCCAAATGTAATAAATTAAGTAGCCAGTACTTTGATGTACCTAAATGCTGCGGATTTCCGCATAATTGTGAGATACGATTTCTGCATGGCGCTTTTGTTCTCTTGTTTAGTGACCAGGTGGCCAAACAATAGTCTCAACATGATTGAAGAGTTATTAAGTTTAATAAAAGATCGATACGGCATCGTACGATCCTTTACGGCAATGTGTCTTTTTGTAATAAGGTATAAGAATAAGAAAAAAATGACACAAGGAATTATCAAAAGCGATTATTAGTTTTTATATTTAATGTAAAAAAATAATAGCGATTCCAGGCACATTCCAGCGAAAAATCGGAGTTTGGATCCTTGTTCGCGATAAAGAGATTCACGGTTTCGTATGCGATTTTCTGTTCCGCGCATAATCTGCGGTTCCGCATCCGGTTTAAGACACAGAATTCGTATGGAAAAGTGTAGTGATAAATTGAGCTAGTTGGTACGAATTTTACAGTAGCCACCAGCTGTCCTTAAAACTTAGTTGTTATATGTATGTTAATTTGTTAAGAAAAGAGATTAAAACAATGATTTATAATATCATGTTGTTTCATTACGTGTACAACCGTGGACGGACCGTGCTTGGGCACAAATGGGCTGGCTCGAGTTAGTGATACCACCACAAAAATGTAGTGTTAAGCAATTCTCTCATTGCTTTTCCCCAAATGAGTTTCTTTACCGGAGCTCAAATCAGGAGGGGGAGGGGGGTTGAGATCCTCTGACTCTTGGGAGGAGAGGGGGGGGGGGGGGGGAACAAAAAGGCGCACTTAGGTATGACGCTTGAGTTTCAGGAGTCCATGGGCAGTCAATGAATTCCAAGATTTATTACACTTACCACAAAATGAAATATGTTATTAAAAAAAGATACGATTTTATGAAAAGGACGTATGTATTTAGTTGACGAATTATGTGTAACAAACATTCGTGAATTAACAGTTACCGCTGCAGTGGGAGATGTACTTTTTCGGTAGGTGCCTTAGCGATAGGATTACCTTTGTATTTGCTCCGTGGATATAACTCTGCTTACGCCTCGGAACTTGCTTTGTACTGGCTAGAGTCGAATACCAATAATAATATATAGATTACAACAGAATGGATCGATGGATGGGAGGTATGGAAACAATCCTATCGCTAAGGCACCTACCGAAAAAGTACATCTCCCACTGCAGCGGTAACTGTTAATTCACGAATGTTTGTTACGCTAGGGCTGCCACGTATGTTTTCCAAAAATGAAAACAACAATTTCAATCCGTCAATGTTTTATTTAAATATTGTATATAATATCGTCCTATTTTACTCGTATCTTCATTAGAATGATTCATCTTCGCGTAAGTGAGAAACTGTCTTCTTAATCTGAGTAACTTCTGTGGATTAACAAACTGAGTGTAGCCAGCTTCTAATATACATCCGGGATATTCTGGAAACTTGACTTCACCATCCATATTGAGTTGCTTTGCGTCTAAGATCTGTTTTGATATTGATTGAGTCACTTTGTCCAATTCGTACAAGAAATTTGTTGCTGTCAGAGGTGCCTGTAATGAGAAAATAAAGTAATTTATACATTCATATTCGACGGGCCTGTTGGTCTAGAGCAGGGATTCCCAAACTATTTTGGGCAAGACACCCAGACTTTTCTAAAATAAACTGATAGCTAAATTACTGACACTTATCGACTTGTTGAGTTTTTTTAAAGTAAAATAATTATACTAACTACTAAAATATTAGTCATTCTTATAACAAGTTGGTACTTCTTATAACAACATAATTAATACAGTATCTTGAGAACTTGTGTTAATTAATAGAGGTCGATGTCTACACTTCGACTACCCCCAAAATCAGTTTTCGTTTATGTCGACCCTTGGGAAACCAATTTCGACCTCAAGGGGTCGATATCGACCGCTTTGGGAATCCTTTTAGGGATCCTGATTGCCAAGCCAGGATCGTTAATCTCTGAGGTCATGAGGTTATTTGAAATCAGACTGCCGTGTGTGCGATGTGTCAAGTTATTATTATTATCAAGTTGCCAGGTATTAGGAATAAAAACTCCCGTAAATGGTATATTTATTAAAGATACGATTTTTCTCATCTATATCAACGATGCACGAATATGTAAGAGGAATCCCCATTGGTTCTTTTTAACAAAAAGTATAGCATTCAGAACCCTGGGCTGCATCCCCCAAAATAAAGTATAATAAAAGACACTTAAAACTAAATAAATGATGTGGCACAACAGTAGTGCATTCAACTATCACACTGATTTTGCAGTTCGATATTAGCAAGTGTAAATAATTTTAAATGAATGAATATTTCAATTTTTAAAATCGGTTGAGTGGTTTAGGCGTAAAGGCGTAACAAACAAATTCACATTAATAATATTAGTATGATTAGGTACCATAATGGTCAAATACTCACATTCTGTGTACTCATATTAGGAGGAGGCGGCTTCTTCTCAAACAGGACCTTGTATATATTGTCCAAATTGAGTTCATCTGATGGTGTATTGAGTACTGTGAATAGTGGACTGTCCCATCTATTATTGGAGTTGGGTTCTTCAAATCTGTAACAATAAACCATATACATCATCATCAACAGCCTACTGCTGTCCACTGCTGAACGTAGGCCTCTCCCAAGGAGCCAACCATTCATAAATACCATATACATATTAGTCTCTTTTTTAAGTGATTCTCTATAGATAGGGCCTCAGAATAAAGACTTGTGGAGTTCTCTTGAATCATGTGTGTTTAAAATAAAAAATAGCCCTTATATCTTCTGGACGGACTGCTATTCCAAAGGTCGCGGGTTCGATTCCCGCTCAAGTAAAGCATTTGTGTGCATGAACATTTAATGTTTGATTTGGTCTGGGTTTCTCTATGTATAATTTGTAAGTATTTACAAAAAAAAAAGTATGTATGTATTTATATCAGTTGTCTAGTACCCATAGTACCAGCTCTGCTTAGTTTGGGACTAGATGGCGTTGTGTGAATGTAGTAGAATATTATTATATTAGTAGAATATTGTATAACATTAGAGTTTAGTTAATTATCTTAAAAATAGTCAGGTTGTCTTGACAGAGGCTATCACAAGCTCCATCCATTTGTTTCTATCATATCTCCTATATAATGTATAAATTATAACAAATACAAACAATATAAGTTATTTATCTATAATATGTATGTATTTAGAAATATATAAGTATATTTATCAGCAGTCTGGTTAAGTGTGGTAGCCCCCTTCAGCCATCACCCCACCGAGGTTTGCAAGAGGGTGGTGTGTCAGAATCGAATGGACTAAATCCACTCTGCGCCTCAAGTACATCTGGACCAACAGTCTGGTTACCGTATTACAAGCTCTCAAGCTTGGCTTTGCTCAGTATTTTTGGTTCTAAATTTTCTAAAAATGAAACCTATCTAGATAAATTAATCACCCCCGAAACCGAAGATTTCGATTATATATATATTTATACAAGAATTGCTCAGTTAAAGGTGTTAGATTATTGGATACTAGTTTTTAGTTGTTTTCAATATAGTAAGGTATCCCTTGGAGACATTATTTAAAGGTAGTGGTGAAAATTGTGTATAAGGTAGGAATATTTCGTAGTTCTGTAGAAATATTAAGGAAACCAAGTTATTTATGCTTACCTTAACCTGGTCAAGGCATTGAACACTTCCTCAGTATATGGCATACTGTTTATACTGCTGTCCTTATCTACTAATTGTTTTTCCGTGTTTGCATCCTGCTCTCTCTTAAGGTTCGCCTCCCAAGCTTCGTCATGATTTCTTATGGTGTAAACTGTACATTGTGTGGATTTAGATGCTTTAGAAGCACAGTAGAGTTCATAGCGGTAACCTGTTAATATATTAAGCAGTGGTTTATAAAGTACTATCTTATTAAGGATGTAAAAGAAATTTAGGACCACCGAGCAATCTACAGCAGGAAGTCTTTTTTTTCTATAAAACATTGTTTATCCTATTTCATATCTGAAGTTTATGCAAAATTTTATTTTGGATGATTGCATGATTGGATGAATTGGCATAAGTATGAATACTATATATTAAATAACACAGCAGATTTTAACACTAAAAATATTATTATTTTTGCAAAAAATATAATAAAAGACATTTAAAACTAAACAAATGATGTGGTACAGCATTAGTTTTACCTTTTATGTAGTTACTTCCATCCAATATAACAACATTATCTTTGCCAATAAGCCTCAATACTTCGGACTTTAGGTACCCTCTGATTCTCTTCTCTTTCTGCGAGTCCAAATAAGTAGAGTTCTTCTCATAACCTAACTTGGCAATAGCCTCGTCTTCAGAAACTATCTCAACTTTCTTCTTGTGTTTATTAATGAAAAAATCTTTCAGTTCATTCGTTCTAAAAGTTTTACCACTCACTGGTGTTCCACATATTATTATTAAAGGCATAATTATACCACAAACTTTAACACGAAACAAACAGATTTTCGAAGACTGTCACTGTTGTCAACACAAAAATGACAGTTAGTCGTGTCGTTCATAAATGTGTATCCATGGACCAGCTAAATTAAAGAGGTGAAGATCTCAGAGTTTCAAAATATTTATGAATTATCCAATTGTGTGTATAACAATTCAAGTTGTTCTCAGATTGTCCGATTTTGAAGTAAAATTTTCCCCTTATATCCCTATTAGCCCTAAATACTTTTAACATAGTTTCATCATCATTAAATTAAAACGAAAAAAAGTTGGTACTGCCAAAATATGGTAAAAAGATGGGTAGGTGGAACGGTGACACCGGGTTGTAAAGTTTATACTATTATAGTCAGTATTATTAACTAGGTACAGGTAGGTAGGTACACATACATTACATTCGACTCATCATACTGCTCCGCTCAGTCAGCTCCAACCTTTATTTTGCAATTTCCTTTCATACAACATTATTTTGGACACTAAAACTATGAGTTATATGATCTTAATAACCTAGTTCACCTGCCACTTTTATTAAAATCTTTAAAACATGAAAAATAATGTTAATGGAAAAAAGTAATGTGATATGCAAATATACGGGACATGTCTTTTATACCGACAGCCTCAACATTTTTCGGGTAAACGTCATCGAGAGCCGAAACAAACTTGTGTCTAAAATTGAAACTCTTTAGCATAGGTTTCAGATTGGGGTCGACTGAATCTATTTCAATTTACCCCAAAAAGATACAGGTTTCATCAGTTACCGCAAAAAAGATACAGTTTTTATTATCACCTTAGTTTGAGAGTACCTCCCTAACTGCCTCAGCCAGTATTAGAATCCTTGGTGTAGACATATCATTTAGAGATTAAGGTGACAATGGCGTCGAAGAAGTTTGGTGTGCTGAACAGATCGAGGCGGTATTTCACTACCCCACCACCTTCAACTATATAAGGCGCAAGTCCGGCTACATAATATATGGAATACTGTTCTCATCTCTGTTCAGGGACACCCCAGTAACAGCTTCTCCCTCTGGACCTCATCTAACGGGGGATTCCTCGAGTCTTCAATAGTTTGAAGACCTCCGATCGGCTTGACCTCTTGGCGTTACGTCAAGGCCGTCTTAAATCTTGCCGGGGCTCCCGGCCACACAACAATTTGGAGCCCTATTAGACAGTAAAGCAAAATGAATAGACAGATACAAATTCACTCATCAAAAAAGTCTAAGTAAACTGTACAGTTTTGAACTTTTGAACGATTTTTACTATTGTAATATATTTATATTTCTAACTAAGCATTAATTGATGCATTAGCGACTAAAGCAACAAAATGTCAATTGTTTTTTTAATCACAATAATTAACAATATGTGTACCGTAACATACGTAGTATAAAAACAAACGTAGATAGGTGACTAATCTAGGGCTTAACTCGCCATTAACCAGGATGGCGAAGTCTTACAACGAACTTTCTCGTTAGTTAGATTTGGACATTTTTGGAGATAGTTTGCCTATTTTTAAGAGAAAAATCGCGGTCTATCTTGAGTCTAAGTTGGGGGGAGCAAAAAGTTCACCTATATATGGGATTTGAATAGTCCGTGATATGTGATTCTTGATGATAAAACCACTTTCTCTTTTTTCCCTAGTGGTTTTTATTTTCTTTAATATTTTTTTTATTATTATTATGCCTTATTTTTTTGTAGAATGGTAGAAGTTTTACTTATGTTAGTCGTGATTGCCTATAACTGAATGAGCACAAGGTATGTTTTTGTATAATTTTTAATTATTGTAGAAATGTGTATCGTGTGTTGGCGATCCAAATAAATTAAAAAAAGTTAAAACGAAATTAAACTTTTCATGTTTTCCATAATTTAAAAAAACGTCATTTTTAGGTTTAGTTTTTAGATACATACTATGTAGTTTATATATATCTCTCATAACTATTATATTATCAATTTCACAAACAAAATTTTAAAGCTGTAGGTAATTATGTAAATACCTAGTAACTGAAAATTTAGAAAAAAATCCAGGCTATTAGTAAGGCCATTTTACAGCCCAACAAAAAACTTTAGATGGTGGCGAAACGGGGAACTAACCATTTCCTATCTGGAAAGATTGGCAATGCTACATATTCTGTGGCATTCCGCATGCCATTGTCTTGTCATTGCTCAGAGTTGCCACAAAGTCGCTAACTAAGGCCCCATTTTAATATTTTTTTCGTATTACATCGATCTTAAATATAAAAAAAACTTGTATGGTGTAAGCGAATATATCGCTCTATGTATTCGCTTTCGGGGCCCCGGTGACGATGGGCGCCCTGGGCCCCGTATATGTATAACTTATGGTAAAGACGCCTAGAGATGTAGCTTGACTGTGCATTCTCTATGGTACTCGTATGTATCATGAAGATTGCTCCGAGGAACTGTTCGAACTTATTTCATTTTAATTCATTATGCACAAAGACAAGTTGTACAATGGCGCACCTAATACTACAGGCATTTTCTCCTAGTCTACCTCAGGGTGGTGCTGAAAGTGTGATTAGGTGCAACAGACATTGATGTGTAAAGTAAGAGAAAAATATTAAGTTATACAGAATCACTGAGATAAATATACATACATACAAACGTACCAAATACATACACATAGATAAATACTTACTTAGTTACGAGTACATGCATACATAAACCTACAAATCTTTAAATCCTAGTATTGAATAAAGTCGCTTTATTGTGTTGTACGCTTAGATATTTTAAACTAAGCAACGGATTTTAATGCGGTTTTCACCAATAGAGAGAGCGATTCAAGAGGAAGGTTTATATGTATAACTAGATGGTACCCGATACTTCATTCGTTGGAATTTGAAAAGCGCTGCCTTAGTGGTGTATTACGGTACGTGACTGCAGTCCGTAAGGCCTCGGGTTCGATTCCCTGACCGGCAAATTTTATAAGGTTTTTCTGATAGGAAATAGCCTAAGTTATGCCTTATTTAGACAGCTACCTGGTAGTAAAATAATATCAAGATCGGTCCAGCCATTTTGAAGAATAACCGGGAGCAAAAAGGGAGACAAAAAATATTTAAACTGGTTTTTAGGCATAGGTATCGTACAAATAACCTTGTGAGCATAAAAAAACCTATTAGTTTGACATTACAAACGGACACTTCAATTTTATTTATTTGTATATATAGATACATGCGTTTTTTAGTAGAGAAAATCCGAGTATTTAAAAGAATTGTTGTAAAAAACATGGTATACTTACTTACATTGCGAATACTGGCTAATCCTTACGAGATAGACCAAAAAAATTCCCGGCATCAGTTCCGTATTTGGTTAATAGGTGGCGCCATCTATACTGATAGGTTTTGCACAAATTTCACGCGGGCGAAGCTGCGTGGGTCAGCTAGTAATATATAAAAGACTTATAGCTCCACCATTACTTGGATAATTGGCACTCCACCATTGTGAGCTTTTGAAGACATTTTTTGCATCGCACTACCAATCTGTGGAACAAATTATCGCTTGCAGTATTTCCGGACCGATATGACCTTCAAGAAACGAGCGTACTCTTACCGTTTGTGAGTCCCGAGTTGTGAACGTTCTGGGGTGGAGGTAGTCACTCTCCATCAGGTGATCTATCTGCTCGTTTACTCCCTTTATCATAAAGGAAAATATGTGTAAATAAAAAAGAAAATATTTTTGCACTTCAGGCACACATATGCGTAAGTTTTATTTGTACATTTCAATACATATATATATAATTATCTACGGTGTCTGATACTCAATACATGACTCATGGATTATTCTTGAGGCACATTGATTAAGTTTTAACTTGAACATCTATATATTTCACATGTTATAAACAGTAATGTTCTAAGTAGACATTCCACAATGACTCTCAGTCAAGTAACTAAAATGCTTCTTATTTTCAAAACTAAAAACTTATATTAAAATCGCCTTCGTGATGTAGTCGATCTTCTTACTAAACGGTGTCTAGCATTTCGTCTGAAGCAAAACTTTTCCGAATCTAATAAGGGCAGAAGCCTTGATTTTCAGTAGATCAGTGTCTGTAAGCACACTCTTCCAACTACATCAGTGGATTAAAGGAGGTGATGAGTGTTCCAGGCTGAGTACACAACCTCTTCCTCCCTACGACCAGTTTTCTAATCTGTCAGAAATTCGTAAACTGTTTACAATAAACAAGCAGTAACTTTGTGTCAGTAACTGTATAAAGGCCAGTAAACCTAAAACAAATCCATCCGCACAGTGGGCCTTTATTGGTTTGAAAATCATTACTATTAAACCTGCACAAACAGTAACAGTCATAGATAACAGTATGGTCATCATGTAAACATACATTGGATATTTTTTTTCTCGACATAGCCCGTACACGAAATATATTGAAGTAAGAACAGAAAGTACAACAATTACGCCAGAGAGGAATATAGTAATTTTTGTCAATGTATGTTCTCTATTATAACAGTAGTAAATTTCACCACTAATGCATGGAACCATGTATATTATAGAGAACATGGTCATAATATAACAACCAATTTTCAAATCGAGACAATAACAACAGCTCTTAGTGGCAAAACAGGTGGAAGCTTTCGGTGGCATAATTACACGTAATAATTTTTACATCAATTTCATTTCGTGACAAATGTCAATTCTTTAGTCTTTGGCTAAACTTTAAAAAGTATTAGCTATTTTATATGGCCACACTGACCGATACCTAAAGTTCAGTAAGTCGATTCGAGTTCGAATCTTTCAGCTTAAAAAAGGACGGCATCATATGCCGTTATGTAGACGCTACTCGTGCTACAGTTCGCATCTTAATTCGCAGTGAAACTACTTTGGTAATTTTGTATTATTGTTTACCTGTTGTAACTTGGTGTAGCAACTTCCACTACAATGATACAAAAACAGCAGTACAGTACAGCAGTAGAACGGTTGGGAAAGATTTGAAAAGAGAGGAAGGAGAATTAGGAAGA